GGGAGGGTGAGAGAATTCACCAGAGCCAGAGTGGGGAGCAGAGCAGGCAGAAGGACCGAAGTACACTGCTGAGGGGAGCAGCGGGTGGCAGGAGAGGTCTGCGCGCCATGTGGGACCCTACTCCGGTGGCCGGGGAGCAGCCGGGGATCGAACCGGCGCCACAGAGGCCGCGGGCAGCTTCGCAACCCAGCGCTCAACCGCTGCGCCACCGGGGAGGCCCAAGAACATATTTAATGACATTTATATTAGTTAATCTACGAGGAAGTAGATTGTACAGTAAACGGGGCAGAAGAAGAGTATATACCCCAAGCTAAGGAAGGTGGTAGGGACCTGGGACTTCAAGGATTGAGAACGGGCACTCATATGATGAAGGCCAGATACTCTGCAACTGGAAGTTTACCCGGCTATATAGATGGGAATCTCTGATAAAAGACTATTTCTGATAAAAACCCAAACTCCAGTAATACTCTCAATTTTCATTCAGGAAGTAATAAAAGTTTCTCATGAGCCTGCAGTGTCTCAAATGAACTCTGCCTGAAATAATACACATGATAATATGACATTTTTGGAGAAGGCCAGTTTTGGACATCTTGGGGAGACCTATACTTCACTATTCAATTTAAAGTTATTTCTGATTCCCCTTCATGTTTATGATGTGAATTTCCAGGTTTCAAAGATAAGACTTTAAAAACATTTATGAGACCATTTTCCTTTTATCTCATTTATAAAACAGATTAGCAGTTTTCAGATTTAACTTTCAGCTCACCATGTTAAGCTGATTAAGTACCCATTCCTGTCTATTTTTTTAAAAGATTTATTTATTTATGCATACAAGAACTGGGGTACAGCCAGAGGTGCAGGGTGGGGGGTGAGAGGAGTGGGAACAGAACAGGGAGATTGACCGAAGTACATTGCTGAGGAGGGCAGCGGGCCAGTAAGGAGAGGTCTGCTGCACCATGTGGGTAGCTCCCTGGCCAGGCGGGGATTGAACTCATGCTGCAAAAGCTGTGGACAACTTCATAGGTTGTGTCTTAATCCGTTGTGCCACCAGAGAGGCCCACATGCCTGTCTATTAAACTTAAGTATTTAGTTAATACATATAAGTGATACCGTATCACAAAACAAATTATTTGATATTATTTATAAAATAAATAAAATAGTTGAGATAGGAAGCGTCCCAGGACAGGACAGAACTCAAGGAAAAACTTAGCAAAAAATTTGCTGTTCCTACAGGCTGGTAAACAAGAGTTTTACAACCTGATGACTCTGGGCCTGGATGCCTGCTGCCAGAAATTTCCTTGGCTCATTGTTTTTGCTTGTTTTTATACTAATTTCTCCCAGTCTGGGCATTTCTGAGCTATCTGTTCTCAGCTTATCAAATTTGCTATTTACTATGAGAAAAGGGGAGTTAAAAGACCCAGAAGAAAAAGGGAGTCACAGACCTTGAGACCAGATCTGTTACAACTGGAGCTGCTGGCACAGCCTCCGCCAGATGTTGGACTGGGAGATAGTCATGAGTCAGGCATGACCACCGAGCTGGAGCTTACTGGTGCCCACAATCAGCAACAATAAAGGATTTTGGCCAAGACCATTCTCCTTCCTTTCTCAGACAATAAAATTTAATTTTTTTGTCCTCAACCCTACCCCTAAAACCTATCTAGACCCCTATTTGCCTGGTTTGTGGGGAAGTTTGATATTAGGCTGAAGGGCTGTGTCTACTTCCCTGTGCGGGGACAGTGCTTAAACATTTGACTGTACAACTAGGCAAAACCAACACAAACAAACAAAAGCAAACGACAACAAAAAAAAAATGCAAATCAAAGAAAAAAAAAAGCAAGACCCTTCATACTTTGTAACATTTTAGTATTGGAATTAAGTTTTTGTTTACCCCATGACTGCACTGGGCTCTGGGTGTCCAGCAGGCTGCGCACTGGGCTGCCCCACTACTCTCTAGGTGTATGAGCCTTTGGCTACTTCCGTCTTGCTAACTCCTTTATGATTTAATTTCTGCCTCCCTAAAATATGGAGAAATAGATGAACCCTATTTTATAAAGATTAAATAAGAGGTGGTGCAAGATCTTAAGTGTTCAGTACATGTTAGCAAGTAATAATGATACAAATAAATAATACTCATTTTTAGTCAAGTGTTGTCTATATTCAGGTGCTGGAAATTAGCTAGGTAAAAAGGTGAACTATCTTTTTGAGATTGCTTTTGTAGTCAGTAGTGCAGGTGGCACAAACTGAACCAACTGATTCCTCCAGGTATCAAGTTCTATACAGAGAGATGGTTGTTTTCTCAGTACAAGAAGGCGGGGAAACTAAGGTCTCCTGAGGATTATCGGATTCAGTAAAAATAACTACTTATTTCCTTTACATTCTTTTTTCACTAACTTGCATTTGGTGCCAAGGTTATAACTGATAGATTCAGTAAGTTCAGCTCATTTAGTACAATTCATGTGGATAATCACAATGGTTGTTGAATTATGTGACTCTGGTGGTGGGTCTAAATCTTGAGATTATAAAAGGATTTGAGGGAAGGAGGTAGTGGACTTACCTTTGTGACAAAGTCAGGGAACTTTTGGGGGAAATAAAGTTACCCCAACAGACCCCAGACCTGGAGCTGGCCCTCAGTTTACATACTCAAGTAGCAGGACACAAGGACAATCTAAGAAATGTGACATATATAGCCACGTCTACAGAATAATGTGTAAAGTTAGTGTGGCCTTTCTGTGCACCCCATGTGGCCTCTCTATGAACCTGTGTTGTAGGGTTTGGAAGAAGCACTCCTGAACGACTTCCCAGAGACAGTGGCCCCCATCATGGGGCAGTCGAGCACGCTTGGGTAGCCACTGACTGATTGTGTGGCCATGGTGTGAAATGGTTCTGTTTTCTTCCTATATCCCAGATGTGTTCATGTTAGGTTAATTGACTTATCTAAGTTGTCCTAGTCTGAGTGTGTGTGTGTGTACGCCCCCTGAAATGCAAGGGTGTTGTGTTTAGGGTTGGTTCTTACCTTGTGCACTCCCTGAGCAGCCAGGATAGGGTCCAATCATCTGCAGCCCTGCACTGAAGTGGATCGGAAAATGACTGACTGAATGAATGAATTACTCTTTTTGTATAAGAAGTGTCTGGGAGGCCTCCCTGGTGGCTCGAGGGGTTGAGCGCAGCATTGTGAAGCTGTCCGCAGCCTCTGTAGTGAGTTCGATCCCTGGCCTGCGGGAACAACCCACATGGTGCAGCAGACCTCTCCTGTCTTGCCCGCTGCTCCCCTCAGCACTGTATTTCAGTCTGCCTGCCTGTTCTGTTCCCCACTCTGTCTCTGGTGAATCCTCTCACCCCCTGCACCTCTGTCCTGTACTCCAGTTCTTAAAAAATAAAAAAATAAGTGTTTAGGTCTTTACTTAGAAGATTAGTGATGTTTTTGTGACTAGAAGTAAGCCATAGGGACATAACTCCTGTTTATATCAATTAGCGTATGATAAAAATGGTTCCTTTACTGTGGTTCAGCTCAAAGTCATTTCTAAAACTCTATCAATGACATTAAGTGAAGACTTATTATAGCATGTTTTCTGCAGAGACAGAGAAGCAAGGATTTGCCTCAGCAGTCTACCTCCTCTAAACGTATTTGTATTAGTTTTCTAAGGCTGTTGTTAACAAATCACTACAAAATGGGTAACCTAAGACAGTAGTAATTTATTGTGTCTTCTAGTTGTGTAAACTGCATACAAGTCCAAATCAAAGACCTGATCTCTTTGAAACCTACAGGGCAGAAGGCTTCCTTGTCTCTTTTAGCTTCTGGTATTTGCTAGCAATCCTTGGTATTTCTTAGTTTGTAGATACATATCAATCTCAGCCTTTGCTGTTACACAACTATATTCTTCTTGTGTCTCTCTCCTCTTATAAAAAACACTAGTAATATTGTGAGATAGGTGATAATTTAAAAACTAGCCCTTACAATTTGAACAAGATCTTCAGTTATTCAGGCCCATCCCATCCTTCCTACTTTCTTCTTTATTTCATTCCCTCTCCGTCACTCCATACCTCCCTCTCCAAGCATGGCCATTTTTGGTAAAGATGCTATTCATCATTATTACGAATTTTAGATTGAAAAAATGAAAATGGCATATATATTTGCTCTTAAATAAAACATTAATCTCTATTTTGCTTTTCTAGATACATTTGCTTTTCGTCCATCTATCAGAGAGCTGTCCTTTATTTCCAATGCTCTCAAGTTCTTTGACTGGAATGGCCTTACCTGGCTCACACATTTCCTTCCTTCAAGACACAGCACGACACCTGCAGAAAACTGCAGCTCATTTGGCATGCTGTATGTGGCTTGCTTTTTGTTTTAATTCTTTCTTCTGTTCACTTACTAGACTTAACAAGGTTGTGAACACCACCTAGCATTCCCCCTTCCGAGAAAGAGTTGAGGGTGTGATGTCCCTGTCTGTCTTTGCATCTAAGTGTGCAGCCCGAAGTCTGACAGTCATGTTAACTGTCTGACACATTCATGTTAACACAAATGTTAACTGTCAATAATTGACAATTAATATGCATAAAAGTACTTCACACGCATTCACACGGCATTACTTACTCCCTACCACTTCCTCATACAGTATTAATTATTACCTGTCTATCATTAACTGGTAGACCGGAGACTAAGAGGTTAAGTATCTTGTCCCGGGAAATAGAATCTGGTCTTCTGATTCCGAGGTCCGGGTTCTTGCCTCCAAACTGCAGGTTGGAGCCAGCCTCAACTTCACACCAAGACTCAAACTTGCACAGGCCACCCCGCTCTCATTTCCGGATAGTAGGCAGAGGGGTGAGCTCAGCCTCCTAGAGGACCGGGGCCGGAGACTACACCTCCCAGAGGGCCCTGGGGCAAAGAAGCCTCAGTTGATTGGTTGAGATGGAGCATCCATCTCCTCGCGGTGAGTCTTCTAGACCAACCAGCGGTCGCAGGGGGCGGGGCCTCGCACTCGCGCTTGCTGGAGCGCAGAAACTGACAGCGTTCTAACTTGCCCCAAGCCCTCCTGGGACTGCGAGCTGTGGCGTGGCGTGGTGCGCCGGCCGCCACGTTGTCCTCCTCCGCGGGCGCTCTCCCGCGTCTTCCCTGCGACCCGACTTCTGGCCGTAGGAGTCCGGCCGCTGGGCCAGAGCCGAGAACAGGCCTGGTGCTCCGGAGGGAAGCACGTGCTCGAGCAGTTGTCGCGGCTCCAGGGCCTCCCGTCGTCGCGGCGCAGCGCTCATCCCCTGGGCAGCCGCCTCGCGGGGCCGTGAGGGCCCCTCGCGACCCGCCAGGTGCGTCCGGCGCTGGCCGCGGTGGCCTTGGGCCGTCACCTGTGGTGCGCGCGTGTTCCCTGCCGCGCCCCTGCGCTGAGGAGGAGGCTGAGGAGGAGGCGGAGACTCCCGGGCACGTCCCTGCGACCCGAGAGCTGACGCCCGCCGGTAACGCTGCGACTCTGCTTCAGCGGTTGGGTTGTTTATTAGAGACTTTTGCTCAGGCCTCCTAAGCCCTGGGGCGATCTCCTCACCGCACCTGGAGACGCCTGGCCGGGATTCCCGTGGGCGGGCGGCGCCTTTGTGGTTGGGGGGGAGCCCTGCGGTCCCATGGTTTTGTGCTCTGTTCTGTCCTCTAGTTGCCTGCACTCCCTCCTTCCAGGGCAAACAAAACAAGAACATCAAAATCCGTGAAGCAACTCACCGTACCCCTTCCCCCTCCCCACACCCCCCCACTAGTGCGTCCGAAACACATATTAAACATCAGCGTGGACTTTGCGATTTGTCGGAGCCTATACCAGCAGGGATCAATAGAACTTTAGCGTGATTTAACGTTCTTATTCAATACTTATTTATTGAGCACCTCAGTGCTGAGCAATGGAAAGTTTAGGGGCTGAGAGACAGGAAACCTAGAAAACTAACACTAAATTGAAATTATTTTTGCGCATTAGGATTAGAGCAGTATTACTGCACACTCCCCTGTGCGTAGAAGCACTATGTGAATACCCAGGAACAGGTATTAATAGGGCAGGATGGGGAGTGGGTAATCTACATGATTTTGATTGGGACCCACACTGAGAAAAAACTAGTTTGGCTCAAGAACTTAATATAATTTCAGCGTTATAATGAGCTCTGGGTCTCTGTGGTCATCCCTGCTTATAATTAGTGGACAAAGAAACTTAAAAAATGTGAGGTAGGAGTAGGAAATGTAGAAACATATCAGTTATGATTCCCTTTCATCTTATTTCCCTTTCACCAACAGTAAAATGCCATTGACGATTTAGATTTGAATAGTGAGTGCTTTTTATGAAAAACTGGATCTAACCTGGTTGCTCACCCCAGGGTTCAGTTCCACAGTTGAGCGCCTAGTCAAGTGGAACCAATTTTAGAGCATCTGAAGGAGCTCTGAGCTAGACCATTGTGCCTAGAAAAATCCTTGGATTTATTCCTGCTTCTCTCAATTAAGCAACGTGTTATGGGGAGGGGGGTGACAATTAGATTTTGACTTCCTAAAAACCCTTAGTCACTATGGGAATACTGGCATTTCAAGGATGGGCTAAAGCTCTATGTCCATGACCTTAAAGCATGGTTATACCCCATTGGTAAGGAGGTTTTATATTATCTCCTGAAAGATAAATAGGTATATGGATAATGTGGAAGCAGTGGATTTTTAAGGATCTCAGTTGCAGAATTTTTTGTATTTATATTCAGTTGATGCAATTCTCATTCATATTTGTTTTCTTATGTATTCCCTTTTAGTTCTCTTTTCTGTTCACAATTCTCTTGATCCCATAAATAAGTGAAAAGTCTGCTACACATATTTCCATGTATTTGTACATTTCTTTGTAGACTCCAGTCTGCACATGTATGTATTTTTATACATTTATATATACTTTTATAAAATTATAAAATTCAAATATATCATAATATACTTACATATAACTTGTATATTTACTATATATAGTTAAATTTTTTAATATATTCATTGGTATCTTGTTCACTGTTACTTTTTAACTCAGTATTTTGTCCTTATAATATGGTCAATTTAGTGATGTATCTGGTTACCACTATGTAGTATTCCACATTAATACCAATTCCTTTTGCTTTGCCACATCCCAAAGTTGTTTCCATGATCTTTGTGAGACTTAGATACTCCCAAGGAGTGAGATTGCTGGATTTCTTGCATGCTTAATATACTAAGTCCTCCTAGACTGCTCTTCACAGTGGCTTCATTTATCTATATTCCAACAAACATATATTTGAAGTTTCAGATTTTCTTTGCCATTGTCTACTCCTAATCAATGCCAATCATAGGGTGTTAATTGGTATTTTTCTCATTTTAATTCATGTCTTTCTGATGACTACTGAGTTTGAACATCTCTTTGCATACTTATTTATTATTCATCCCCCCCATCCTTTGATTTTCCTTCTGCCATTTTAAAATTTGATTTCTTATTGATATGAAGGAGTTCCTTGTTCATAGATGTTAGTCTTTTTAATGCCCTCTTCCAGTTTTGGTATCAGGGTAATTCTAACTTTATAAAGAGAGTTGGTATGCATTCCCACTATTTAATATGGTATTGATTAGTTGATGCCAAAGAACATATTTTATTGTTGGTAGAAAGGGTTCCTTTTTTTTCCCTAGAAGGTTTGAAACTTTTTTTAAAATTACATTTCAAATACATTACCTACTCCCCCCACATCCAACTCAGTCACCCTTTAAAGCTCAAGTGATCTCATTTCAGGGTGGATGGTAGTTACATCCTTTTCAGAAATAGAAATTCATTTGGGTATATAGGTAAAACTTTTTAATCTTCTTTCTTCTCATTTCCTATTCAAAACTATTTCCATTTAATTGTTTTCACTGAGTATTATCTCCTTTCTGCTATACTGAGGTTCCTTTCCAAACTGTATTCTGGCATTCTTTTTTTTTTTTTTAAAGATTTATTTATTTATGCATACAAGAGAGGGGTACAGGCCAGAGTTGTGGAGGGTGAGAGGACTCACCAGAGATAGAGCAGGGAACAGAACAGGTGGAATGACTGAAATACACTGCTGAGGGGAGCAGCAGGCGAGTCAGGAGAGGTCTGCTGCGCCATGTGGGTAGCTCTGTTGCCGGGGATGGAACTCCCGCTGCAGCTGAGGCTGCAGGTAGCTTCATAGGTTGTGTCTTAACCCCTTGCGCCACCAAGGAGGCCCTCCTGGCATTCTTGCCCCCTGTCCTGACATGTCCAGGACTGAGAACTTCAGGTTTCCATGATATTTCTACAGGACTACGTAGTATACAGAACACAACCTTCATAGAGTTTCAATCCTAGCTCCACTTGTTATTAGCTATGTGGTAATAGTGATATAATAGAAACAATTAAACATTTATGTGGTCTTAATGTGTGGTCCAATCTTACATCTGAAATACACCTTTAGTACATAGTTTGATTTTATCATCACTGTTCCCCTGACACAGGCTGGGCTGATATTTCTCTGTTTTGCAGAATCATGGCAGTCATGTGCAAAACCTCTTAGTAACTTTGGGGAACTGGGACTAAAATTCAGCGTTTCTCTTCCTGTCACCACTAGATTAATCAGATCAAACTCTGGGTGTTTATTAGCTTATGGGACAGTCCACCATGGGTTTCCAAATTGATGCCACACATGCATTTGCTTTGTTGACTTTAGCTTGAAGTCACTGGACTACCACCTAAGATTTGTCCATTGTACATGTTTCTTTAAGCGCTACTTTTTTTTCATACTTCCCAAGAAGTTATTTTTTCCCCTATAGTAATTGAAGTACTAGTGATCAGATCATTGGATGATCCTAACTTGATTCCTTTTTCAGGAAATGTTTTCTCTTGCCTACTAGCTCAATGACTAGAATTAGCCAGTGTGTTGGCTTTGAAAAGGACTGGTATACCTGAAAGAAACATAATGCCCTTTGGGAAAGAGGAAACCAGATATTTGCAAATTTGCCTTGTAAGTTATGAAAGCAACCTTCCTGAGGCCTACTTGAAGTAATTCAATCAAAATAGCTCTTTAGTCTCCATTTCAGCCTTGTTTCTATGTTATAAATTTGATATTCTGGACATAGGATAGGGCAGAGTTATAAATTTACTCCAAATGTCAGTGTACAGCATTCACACATTACTTGTTTGGATTTTAATTGATCTTCTCTTTGTCCTGATCTCGCACTCTCTTTCTCTGAAACAAGAACTACATCCTACTTTAATCAGGGTTGTGTGCTTTGCCAGTGATTTTGTATTATGTCAAATCTTTTATTAGAGTAAGCATTGTTACATGTTGATGAAAACCTTTTTTGGACAACATTTTTCTAATGCTGTGGAGTTAGGAGTCCTTTTTTTATGAACCCCCTTTCTTCTTGATTGTGGATTAAATTCCCTCTCCACACATCTTTTTCTCCTTTCATTTTCACATTTTCTCTTTTTTTAAAGAGTCATTTTTATGCATACAATAATTGGGATATAGGCCAGTGGTGCAGGGGGTGAGAGGATTCACCAGAGACAGAGTGGGGAGCAGAACAGGCAGATCTACTGAAATACACTGCTGAGGGCATCATCAATGGGTAAGACTGCTGTGTCATGTGGGTTAGCTTCCTAGTGGGGGGATCGAACCCATGCCACAGTGGCTGACCACTGCTTGATAGTGCTGAGACTTGAACCCCTGTGCCATCAGGGAAGCCCCAAATTTTCTCTTTTTTAAAGCAGATATGAAGAAAACCCAGCAGAATGAGATTGAAACCATTCTGCGGGAGAGGATCATGGTGCTAGATGGAGGGATGGGGACCATGATCCAGCGGCACCGGCTAAGTGAAGAAGACTTTCGAGGTGAAGAATTTAAAGATCACACCAGGCCACTGAAAGGCAACAATGACATTTTAAGTATAACACAACCTGATGTAATTTACCAAGTCCATAAGGTAAAGTTTCCACAGCTTCTTATATTTTTATCCTGTCATCCTGCAAAATCACTCTGCCTCTGTGCTAGAGGATGCAGAAGAAAGAAGTGAATTGTTCAGAAATTGGTTGCACACCCAATAAACAGCATGCTCAGTGTTGAGTATTCAGGATAAGGAGATAAGGAAGGCAGTTTGCCACCTGCGGGGGTATTTAGACTCCAGTGAAAAGCCATAAATTCCTGGACAAATCACTATTTTCTAATCCACCATCTTATTTAGGTCACTATAAGAACGTTAATGAAATAAAACTGGAAGGTAGATATTATCATTTTGTAGATTTAGATGCTGAGGATCATAATGTTAAATCCCTGGCCTGATGGTATAGAGGTTCATTGACTTGAAATCCATGTGGGTTTTTTTTCATTCCATTTTTCTGTTTTCAGAAAAAGTAGCTAGCCTACATAAAGAAATCAAAGCAAGTAGCTGAGTGTTGCTAGGCTTGCAAAATTTAAAAATAAACATGGAACTAAATTATTTAATAGGCTATCATAGGAATTTCATAAAATTATGAGAAGAGGTAATATGGCGATTTAATCTGTTTTTCTGGTCTGGATTTGATTAAAAGGGCAAAGGATATTTATCAATTAATTAAGTTTTAAATTCTGGAGAAAAAAATAAATTCTGGAGGAAAGGCATTATTTATAGATGTCTCAGACTCTTCTTAATGGGAAAAAAAAAAAATCACTAAACAAATCCCTTAGTGATTACATGTTTCATTGTGTGTGTATAGGTTCATTCTATTGAGTGGTTACAACTTTGTTGTAGATAAGATTTCATTTGAAGAAAATACTTTTCCTTTGATCACAATGAGAATTATAGTACTGGAAAATTTAAAATTTGTCCTTGAAGAGTTTTGGTTCCGTAGGAAGAATGGTAGCTAAGTTTTTCTGCTAGGCCTTGAGACTGTCCAGTAAGTCCTCACTTAAGGTCATTGGTAAATTCTTGGAAACCATGATTTTAAGTGAACAATTCATCTTGCCACCTGTTTTACCATAGACTAATTGAGATCAATGAGTTAAGCTCCATCATATTTCTGGTAACAAAGGCATCACCAAACTTCAAATTAAAGGTCCAAAACACTTCTAATATTAAACAATAATTTGCCTTGCCCTACCCTTCCCTCCCTCCCTTCTTTACTTCCCACTCTTCCTTTCTTCCTTCCTTTTCCAATCTAATCATCCCATTCCAGTTCCAGGGCTGTGTTAACTAGAGCCTTTATCAGGATCTCAGGATTTATGGAGGAACCAACCCTGGACAGGAGGCTCTTCCATTGCAGGGTACACACACACTCTCTCTCTCTCTCTCTTTCTCTCTCTCTCTCTCTCTCTCTCTCTCTTTTTCTATCAACATTATAAAGAAATGGCATTGAATAAAATAGTGACATTCTAGGAGTTGCTATATAGTCAAGTCCATTATGAAATCCCAGTGTATTGTAGATTGTGAATGTCATTATGGGTATGAATTACTTGGTTTGGTTACAAATATCAGTTGTTATAATGCAGTTGATGAAAGCATAAGAGGTACCAGGTCATGTGACAGTCACTATTGTTCATATGGATTATATTAGAGTTTAAGCTTCTGGAGGGCAGAAATTTATGCATGTTTTTCACTCATCCTTGCTGTCTAGAACAGTATCTCCCACATAGTAAGGACTCAGGAAATTTTTGTTGAAGGGCTGTGTACTTGTTTTGTGTATTAGATAGACATCTAGATAGAACAATAAAATTCTCATGATAGAACAGTTATATGAAGCAAGATTAACTATAAATATTATAAAGATATACTTGGCTATCCCATTGCTAAGGGAATATTTACTAGCTGGAGAGATCATGCATGATGTATTGCTGGATGATGAAGGGAAAAAGATTAGGTTATTTTCACAGTTATTTCTTGTGGAGTTAGTCACTCTAGATTAGATCTCATCTACACAGAAATTTTAATTTTAATGTGTAAGTGCCTGACAATACGCTTTTTGTATTGCAAGGTACACATGCATGACATTAAGCTTTTGATTGCAGTGACATTTCAAAGACATCCATCTTGAATAAACATATTGCCAACTGCTAATAAAATAACTAGATTAAAAAAAAACAAGCTACTCTCAACCATGAAGTTCCCTATTATCTTTCTACCCAAGGTTTACCTATGTGGCCGCAGGCATTACTATCTTCTCCAGGACTTTTGAGTAATGAATCTTGATTTTTTCCCAAATGTTCCCTGGTGATTGCTGCTGAAGTGTGTCTTGCAATTTTAAGAACCACAAAAGCTGTTCCTGCTTTTGCCTCTGGTGTTAGCTTACCACAGGTAGTATGGGCCCAGGTGAGTGCCTTGGGCATTCCTAGCTGATAGCATCACTATAGATAAGCAGAGAGGACAAGAAACAAAATTCAAAACATCTGTTAATGTCTTGAAATGCTGTCATTAGCATACTCCTTTTATCTTGACAGCCTTCTCCATGAGAAAACTGAGCAGAGAAACTATGTAGTTTATCCCAGATCACACATTTTTTAAACTGTTGAAATTAGGATTGGAATTTGAGGGGTGTCATATCCACAGTATATGAGTTGGGATATTTAAGGAAAGAAGGTGGCAGTGAAACACATTTTAAATTTTTTTTTTTTTAAGATTTATGTATTTATTTATATAAGCACTGGGTACAGTCAGAAGCATGGGAGGGTGAGAGAATTCACCAGAGCCAGAGCGGGGAGCAGAGCAGGCAGAGGGGCTGAAGTACACTGCTGAGGGGAGCAGCGGGCGGCAGGAGAGGTCTGCGCGCCATGTGGGACCCTCACCTGGTGGCTGGCAATCGAACTGGCGCTGCAGAGGCTGCGGGCAGCTTTGCAGCCCAGTGCTCAACCGCTGCACCACCGGGGAGGCCCACACATTCTAAATTTCATGTTATGAAAATTTTAAAAATCTATACAAAATGGAGAAAATAACAATTTAGAAATATTTTTGTAGTTATAAAGATAGTATGTGTTCATCATTTAAAATATGTCTAACTAGATAGTATAGAAAAGCATGAAAGTGAAAAAAAAAACACTTGTAATGACAAAGGTAAGACATAATTATTTTTCACATACTTGAATTTCACATTTTAATATACTTAACTATTTTAGAATATTTCTAAAATAATGTTTTTATTTTTTATATTTTTTAAAATCCCAAATTAAATTGGGATTATGTTACTTTTTACATTTTATAGTTTGTATTTTTTTACTTATATACTGTAGCATTAAACTGAAACTTTTTTTTTTTAAGATTTATTTTATTTGTACAAGAACTGGGATACAGGTCAGATGTGCAGGAGGGTGAGAGGATTCACCAGAGACAGAGCGGGGAACAGAACAGGCATACCAACTAAAACACACTGCTGAGGGGAGCAGCGGGCGAGACAGGAGAGGTTCGCTGTGCCATGTGGGTTGCTCCACGGCCGGCTGGGTTCGAACCGGCAATTTAGAGGCTGCGGACAGCTTCACAGCGCTGTGTTCAACTGCTGTGCCACCAGGGAGGCCCTGGAACATTACTTTAATAACTTCATAATAACTTAGTTTATGTACATATCATTAGTTACATAACTAATCTTACACTAGGTGCTAAAGCTGTGTTAAGTATTTTTGCTCTTATTTTGGAAAGTTAAATTTATTATGAGTTGTTCTTTTTTTTTTTTTAAGATTTATTTATGCATAGAAGAACTGGCTTATAGGCCAGAGGTGCTGGGTTGAGAGGATTCACCAGGGATAGAGTAGGGAGCAGAGTAGGTGAATTTACTGAAATACACTGCTGAGGGGAGCAGTGAGCTAGACAGGAGAGGTCTGCTGCACCATATGTGGGTGAGCTCCCTGGCTGGGGATTGAACTCGGGCCACAGTGGTGTTAGTGTGATAGCATATAGACATAACCCCTATGCCACCAGGGAGGCCCTGCAAGAAATGTTTCAAACAAGGAGAACAGGAGCATACCAAGGTCCTCAAGGTTCTAGTAAGGGACTAGAAAATGTGGACTGAAACACTATGGTCAGATTTGAGGTCTTAAGAGATAGAGCAGTTCTCGGTGGGAATCAGATTGAGTGCCCATCCTGTGCCAGATCTTACAGCACCCCTGTGTAGTTGGTTTCTAATACTTCCAAAGAGGAAAGGAACTTGACTCAATTCATACAACTTGGTATGTAAACTTCATCTGAATTCATGTTCTTTGTTTTTTTTTATTTATACAACACACCTTTCTATGAAATCCTTGTATGTTTTTGTATCTGTAACCTCTAGTGTCATGCCTTGCATTCAGTAAGATGTCAAAAGGTATTTGGTGATGGTAATGAGGAAAAAGCATGGTTATTGTTGAAGACAGGGTCTCTAAAATCTCTAACGTTGGCATTGCTCTCTCTTGTTGCAGGATTACTTGCTGGCTGGAGCAGATATCATTGAAACAAATACATTTAGTAGCACTAGTATTGCTCAAGCTGACTATGGCCTTGAACACTTGGTAAGAATTCAATTTTTCCTGATATCTAAGATGTTCATGAGCATTTGCTATATTGGTAGCGAGAAAATCAAAGCTGCAGAGTCGGACTATTGCCTAGTTAACTACTGTTTGTGGTCACACAGGGAAAATGGTTTGAATTTCTTCTGCAACCCATTCATTTTCCATCTGGCTGCTTTTATGAGCAAGTAATAATCAAATAAAAATTATACATATTATACAGTGGCCTTTGGTAAAGGCATAGTGATTGGCTCTGTGTGCAGTTTTGTGAGGCTTTTTAAGTACTGGGCAACAGATTTGATTTCCTTTTTTTTTTTAGTTGTTGCAAAATTCATGTAACATAAAATTTACGATCTTAATAGTATAATCCAGTGGCATTAAGGACAGACAGTTTATTGTGCTACCATTATCATTATCTATCCACAGACCTTTTTCATCTTGAAAAACTGAAACTTTATATCTATTAAACAATAGCAATCTGTTGTCCCTTCCTGTCCCCCTGGAAATCAGTATCCTGTAAAAATTCTGTTTGTATGAATTTTACTGTTCTAGGTACCTTATATAAGTGGAATCACACAGCATATGTTCTTTTGTGACTGGTTGTTTCAGTTAGCTTAATGCCCTCAAGATTCATATGCACTGTAGCCTGTGTCAGAATTTCCTTTCTTTTTAAGGTTGCATCCCATTGTGTATGTGTATATGTGTGTGTATGTGTATCCCATTTTGTATATACACCAATTACACACACACTACATTTTCTTCATCCATTGATGAATTCCAGAATTATTTCTTTTTTTTTTTAAGATTTATTTATTTACGCAAGCACTGGGTACACTCAGAAGTGTGGGAGGGTGAGAGAATTCACCAGAGGCAGAGCGGAGAGCAGAGCAGGCAGACTGACGAGGTACACTGCTGAGGGGAGCAGTGGGCAGCAGGAGAGATCTGTGTGGCATGTGGGACCCTCACCTGGCAGCCGGGATCGAACTGGCGCTGCAGAGGCTGCGGGCCGCTTTGCAACCCAGCTCTCAACCACTGCGCCACCAGGGAGGCCCTGAATTATTTCTATCTTTTGGCTACTGTAAATGACCTTGATATGAACATGGTGTACAGATAGTCTATTTGAGTTCCTACTTTCATTTCCTTTTAGTACATACCCAAAAGTGGAACACTGCATAATATAATTTTTTTTTTTTTTTGGAGAAACTACCATACTATTTTCCAGAGTGATTGCCCCATTTTAGATGGTCACCAGCAGACTGAAAGTGTTCCAGTTTTTCTCATCTTTGCCAGAACTTTTGTTTTTATGATTTTCTGATAGTAGCCATTTTACTGGGTAGGGGGTGAAGGATTTGGTTTCTGTTTAGTTGACATATGCTTCCATAGTAAAATTTTTTAAATGTTAATGATACATACATGTTAGATGCTAGTGTTCACATTTCTGTGTGGGATTTTTCTAGATATATGACTCTGTTTTTATGCAGGTAGTCCTGATTGTTCAGTACTTATTTCTCTCATGATTTTTGGGTTATCAACTAGTTAAATTGTAAATCCTATACTCCAGTTAAATTGTAAATCCTAACCCTCTGATCCCTGGCTTCTGTAGCATATGTAAATAGACACAACTTTGGAGGGTCTTTTAGAAGCACTTAGATTCTAGCTTTAGCTTAGAAGATAGATTATTAAAAAATTATTAAAATAGTTATTAAAGTAAGATTTGATCTGCTTTATACTTTAATTTTAATTTTAGTGTTTTCCCCAATAGAGAGTCTGTGAGACAGTGTTGTGGAGCATTTCAAGTTGAATGCTACCATGAGGAGCTTTTGCAGAGAACTTACTAAGTTTAGGACCCTTTGTGAGATCAGGTGCCTTTTGGGTTATCAAGGAAAAATGAAATTATATTGCAATTACTGTGGTGTTATTTTAGGGCAGGAGTTGGCAAACTTTTTCTGTAAAGTACCCAAGAGTAAATACTTTAGACTTCATTGGCTCCTTGTTCTTGGGTAAGGATCCAAGGCACCTAGGAACTTAGAATTTGAAGGGATCTTGAAGATTACAAATCATGCTCTCCAAACCCAATCTATGGAAGGACTTCAGGAGGCCTATACACTGCTTTAAATCTTAAGCAGTGCTTTGTATGTTTGTGGTACTTGTTTTTTATTTCCTAGTTGAGAAGGGTCATGGTCCTTTACCAAATCCTCCAGAGGTTAATAATCTACAAAAAGTTCAGAACCAATGATCCAACCATTGTATGGTGAGGGAAGTCAGGGCCTGGAGAAGTTGCTAGGGAACTGCCCAGGCAGGCGTGACAGCTGACTTGAGAAGCCATGCTTTTTCTAAGCCTGTCCCTTTTCCATTCCTATACTGTTTTCTAATTCTCAGAATATTTAACTATATCATCTTATTCTATGATATGCCAGATGTGCAATAGTTTCCCTTTTTACCAGCTAATTTGTGGTTTGGGGAAGAACCTAACAGCAATTCTCAAAGATTTACCTTTGGTGCTGGCTTGAGGTTGGGGCACATAATGGGCCTTTTTGGGTAAGGTGAATTCAGACCTCAAATCAATTCCCTTTGCATTTCCTTACTGAATAAAAAAGGGTTTTAGGAGATTATAAATTTTAATTTATTGTATGGTGAAAAAAGAAGGACAAGCTAACGATTGTGGTTGGTATGTAGGTCTACATGATGAACAGGTGCTCTGCGGAAGTGGCCAGAAAAGCAGCTGAAGAGATAACATTCCAGACAGGTATGGTATGTTTTTTTTGCTTTTTTAACCTACATTTTTCCTGTGACATTCTCAGGTATAGTAATGACATTCTCAGGTATACTAGAAGTGTCCTTGCCCTTATTCCTTTCATGAAGATAGACTGACTATAAACATTGCAAATACCATATTATACTTATTTATGGGTTACTTCTCTGCAGTTTCATAACCAAGCAGTCAGCCTCTCTCTGAACTGACTTTTTCACTATGATCAATGGGCTTAGGGTTTACTGTGTTTACTCTGCTGGGGGTTAAAACCTACGTTTGTAGCCAGGATCATGGCTTCCTTGTATATTTAGAGCTCAAATGATTTCTCTTCCTTTGAGGGAGAGAAATTATCATGTTATTAAGGTAGTGGCTGTTTTGGTTAATTTGGTTATTAAGGTATTTGATCATGCTTTTACCGCTACCCTCATCCTTGTGATTGTCTTCTATAGGTAAAGGGATATTGTCTTTTGCGTATTTGCCACTTCCTACTTCTGATGTCCTCAAGGGCTCTGTGTAGAACACACAAATGTGGCGTTAGATTCAGTCTTGCTGGGATTTGAAAAGTGGCACCCCAAAATAAATAACCTCCTGGCTGGCTGCCATAAGAACACTTGGGCACCAGCTGGTAGGGAGGCTTTAAGGGAGGGGAGGGAATAGAAGAAATATATGGAGCCCCTTAAGATTTGGAAATGTGAAATTATTGCCAAAAGGAAAAATGTGAAGCAAAATTGTTAGGAAGATAGACACCAGTATACTAATGGGGACTGAAGCAATTTATAGGAACTCTGTTTCTGAGGGATAATGTTTATATCCATAGCAATGCATAGCCTATTGCCTCAAGAGAAATACAGGTCAGAGGATATTAAACCAGCTAAAGTAGGCAAAGATAAGGACATTTTTCTTTTACTCATTACTACTTAGCTTTGAGCATAACAAAGAATATTTGGGCCTACAACCTACTGAAAATTTGGATTATCAACTAGTTGGCAGTCTTTTCCAGTTAAATTGTAAAGCCTAACCCAGGTTATTGAGTGGTTAGAATCACTAAAGGTAATGAGCCCTTTGATCCTTAGCTTCTGTAGGATATGTAAATACACACACATAGGATATATAAATACACACAACTTTGGAGGGTCTTCTAGCCTAAAGGTTAGATTATTAAAGAATTATTTAAAGAGTTATTAAAGTAAGATTTGATCTGCTTCATACTTTAATTTTAGTATTTTCCCCAGTAAGAGTCTGTGAGACAGTGTTGTGGAGAATTTCGAGTTGAATGCTGTCATGAGGAGCTTTTGCAGAAATCTGTTAAGTTTAGGACCTTGAACATTTTTTAAAAATAGGGAGAAAGATAATTTGTCCAAACATAGCTATGTTGATAGAAAAGGATGACCTAGGGAAACAATTTGAAACCAATTATGTGACCATTCAGAGTATGTGCACATCCTTTATATTTTGTAATTTCCCTACTGGGAGTGGGATAGCCTCCATATAGCCTCCTCCAATTATAAAACATATAATTACAGTAAAATCTATGAATCAGCCCCTAACGTGGGATAAAGACTATAAATAGCCCCTTGTTTGCTCAGGAAAGGTCAAGTTTTATAGTTAAAGGAATTAAGAAAAAAAATGTTTTTGTGATTTTTGGATTTCCTAGTTAGGGACAATAGACCTGTGTTGATTCATAACCAGAAAAGTCAAGTTATTTAGAGATTTAATACTTGTTTTGCTTCTCCCAAAGGAATTAAGAGGTTTGTGGCAGGAGCTCTGGGTCCAACTAATAAGACACTCTCCGTGTCCCCATCTGTGGAAAGACCAGATTTTAGGAACATCAGTGAGTATTTACCATATATCATAATTGACCTTGGTCAAGTACCTCTGTGTTTCAGTAATCTATAAATCTGTAAAATTGTGCCAATAACAGGATCTATTTCAGGGTTATTATGACTTAATCTATGTAAAGAATATATTACTCCCTGGAATATAATAAAGTGGGGAAAGGAATGACTTCTGATACGGAAATAGATAAGATTTTTTGCCGCCTTTTTTTTTTTTTTTAATAGAGGCATGTTTTTATTTATTTGTTTGTTTGTTTGTTTTGTTTATACATGCACTGGGTACAGTCAGAAGCGTTGGAGGGTGAGAGAATTCACCAGAGCCAGAGCAGGGAGCAGAGCAGGCAGAAGGACCGAAGTACACTGCTGAGGGGAGCAGTGGGCGGCAGGAGAGGTCTGCGCGCCATGGGGGACCCTCCTCTGGTGGCCGGGGAGCAGCTGGGGATCGAACCGGCGCCGCAGAGGCAGCGGGCAGCTTCGCAACCCAGCGCTCAACCGCTGTGCCACCGGGGAGGCCCTTTGCCGCCTTTTTTTGAAGTATAATTGACATCCAACTTATATTGGTTTTAGTCATGCAGCATAATTATTTGACACTTGTAAACAATAAAAAATGATTACAATATGTTTATTTTCCATTCATCTTAGCAGTTTTTCAAATTTGCCATACTGTTATTGCCTATAGAACCCATGCTGTGTGATAAATCCTTGTGGCATATGTTTTTTACTGAAAATGTGTACATCTTAATCCCCTTCACCCATTTTGTCCACTCCCAACTCCTCTCCCCTTAAGATATTTCCAGCAAAATTTGTACCTCGGTATGGCTGAACACTTATATTTGAGGCTGAAATTGCTCATCAGGCATGTTTCCTATCTGAGAGAGTTGGTGTTACAGGGAAAGGACAAAAACCACGTAGGACTGCAGCCTTTTTTCCAGAGTGGATGAGAGCATGTGACTCAACCTTTGAAGTATCCAAATTGGTGTGACATATTTCTGCAGTTATCCATCACACTCATTCCTTAACTGATTGATGAAAATCATCCTTTGAAAGAATGAGGTGTTTTAACGGTGTTGAAAGTAAAGGGACAGGGCTCAAGAAATCATGCACCTCACTCACTCTTGACATAGACATGGGAAGTGGAGGTGACGTGGAAAGAGTTTAGGAGCAACTATATTCAGTTGCTGGTGTAAGTCTATCACCGCCCTATTTCTTTATTCTGTTTCTTACAAAAGGTGATGTTTTTCTTAAGTCATGTGTTATAATTCATAAAGTTAGTCCATGGGCCCTAGGCCTGAACTCAGCCTGTCTTGCTCATTAGAAGATATTGATGACTTATGTCTTGGGTGTGATTTATTATTTGCAGCATATGATGAGCTCGTTGAAGCATACAAAGAGCAGGCCAAAGGACTTCTGGATGGTGGGGTTGATATCTTACTTGTTGAAACTGTTTTTGATACTGCCAACGCCAAGGTGAGTTAATGGAGAAACAAGGGACAGGGCTGTGGTGGTGGCTGTGATGGATTCTCTAATATAGTGAGAAGCCATAGTCACTATTGAAGTTAAATAAAATTCCTCTATTCCATTTGATTCTTAAATATTTTTTTTTAAAGATTTATTTATTTATTTATTTTTATTTATTTATACAAGCACTGGGTACAGTCAGAAGTGCAGGAGGGTGAGAGAATTCACCAGAGCCGGAGTGGGGAGCAGAGCAGGCAGAAGGACCGAAGTACACTGCTGAGGGGAGCAGCGGGCGGCAGGAAAGGTCTGCGCGCCATGTGGGACCCTCCTCCGGTGGCCAGGAAGCAGCCAGGGATCGAACCGGCGCTGCACAGGCTGTGGGCAGCTTCACAACCCAGAGCTCAACCGCTGTGCCACCGGGGAGGCCCTGATTCTTAAATATTTCTAATGAAGATAGTAGAATGAGAAAAACTTGAAAAATTATCTTTTTTTTACAGATTTATTTATTTATGTATACAAGAAGTGGGGTACAGGCCAGAGGTGTGAGGGTGAGAGGATTCACCAGAGACAGAGTGGGGAGCAGAACAAGCAGACTGACTGAAATACACTGCTGAGGGGAGCAGCGGGCGAGTCAGGAGAGGTCTGCTGTGCCATGTGGTAGCTCCCTGGCCAGGGATCGAACTTGTGCTGCAGTGGCTGTGGATAGCTTCATAGGTTGCATCTTAACCCCTTGCACCACCAGGGAGGCCCCCAAAGTTATCTTTTTTAATTAGTTAAATTTTTTAAGTTACAAAAGGATATATTTTCATATATAGCTATTATATATGACTAAATACATCCGTAATAATTCCATATCCATGGTTCTAAATTCAAAAGATATATGAATAAGGAGTGATAAGTTAATTTCCTTCCTATTTCCTGGATATTCAATTCATTTCCCTGAAACAACTACTATTACCAGTGTAACTCTTGACAGAGATGCTATGCAAAGAAAAGCACACATGTGCGTACATGTTTGTATTCCTTGCATATGTACAAGGGTACATAAGATTATGGAGTGAGAAGTAAATATTCTTACACCTATGTTTTTGCACGTGGTGCCCATAGGATAAATTTCTGTAGTGAAATTTCTGGGTCAAGGGGTATGTGCATTGTTAATTTTGATCTTTCGTGTCAAACTGCCCTCCTTTGAGATTATACTCACTTATATTCCAATCAGCAAGCGGTGCACAGTTGTGCTGGTTTTACCACACCTCCTTTAATACCACTTACTGTTGAACTTTTGGCTCTTTTCCAGTCTGATGAAAAATGCTGTCTCACTGTAGCTTTAATTTGTATTTTTTCTGATGATAAACTGAGCAACTTTTTCAGTTTTATAACCATTTATCTTTCCTCTTTTGGGATTTCTGTCTGCCTTTTTTTCTAATTTTTTTAATTACTTTTTTTTAAAGATTTATTTATTTATGCATGCAAGAGCTGGGGTACAGGCCAGAGATTCGGGGGGGAGGGGTGAGAGGATTCACCAGAGACAGAGTAGGGAGCAGAACAGGCATAAGGACCGAAGTACACTGCTGAGGGGAGCAGTGGGGGAGACAGGAGAGGTCTGCTGCGCCATGTGGGTTGCTCCCTGGCCTGCCAGGAATTGAATCCACGCTGAAGAGGCTGTGGACAGCTTCACAGCGCGGCGCTGTGAAGCCCAAAATATGCACATTTTAGAATCAGGAAATATGATAAAATGAAGCTCTATTGCCTGGAACTAAATACTTAACATGGACAGTACAGAGTAACATGAGATTTGTACCTTTATAACCCATTATAAGCTCACACTCATTTTTGCAGTGGCATATACTGTAGGCTCATAGACCTGCCATGTGTAAATGGGGATGTGGAGGGCAGAGGCATTCTTATTTATCTATTTAATTTTGATTGAGAGGAAATGAGTTCATAGATGAACTTTCAGAGAGCACAGTTTTGAGGAAGGAGTGCTAGGTTGTGCATTGCAAGGATACGTCGTCTTCTCCCAGAGAACACAATGTTTATAGTATCTGAAGAGGTCTTAGAAAAGGGAGCATCCTGTTTGGCCAGTTAGACTGACTTGGGACACAGTCTTTTAGATATAAAGATAGATGTTCCTTTTTTTCCCCTTCAACAGGCAGCTTTGTTTGCCCTCCAAAACCTTTTTGAAGAGGAGTATGTACCCCGGCCTATCTTTGTAAGTTCTAAAATGTTTGCATTATGAAATTTTTTCAGTCGCTATTATCAGGGCAGGGCTTTGGTTTCTTGCACTATAAAACTAAGATAGTATCTTTAGAAATCACTAACTTTAGCTCCCTCTATTCACTTCCTTCCTACCTTCCTACCTTCCTACCAGCTCTAGACCATTAGCAGTCTTATCACTGGTAATGTGAAGAAAATGAATCTAGAAGTGGTTGGTAGAAGACAGGTTATTCCATAGAAGCCTAATGAATTGGTCCCCTGAAGCCAAAGACTTAGAAACTCTCTTTTATTAGTCCATAAAGAGAATTGGGCTTGCATGCTGACTGTGAGGTAGCCAATAATAAAGACACCACGAGACTGCCAGTTTATTAACTCAGTAGGTAGACCCACATAAGAATTCTAAGACTGCTTGGTAAGAATAGAAAATAGTCAAAGCAAGGGGTGTTAGATGAATCTGATGTTTAATAACAGGAGACCATCATAACCTGCAGCTTCTCCAATTGGACTGAATGTGTAAATTCTAAAGCCTTTTTGGTTATTTCTTTTGCCTCAGTGACTTTCTCTTTCTTTTATTTTTTATGACTTACCAGTTCCTTCCCCCAGTCACAATGCATGGTCTATTCTGACCATTACAAAAATGCTGCCTTTGAGTTTGAGTTCCACAGTTCTCTCCATTGTGAGAGAACAAAGAAAGCCAGCTTGCTCATTTTTATTTTGTCTTTGTGTCTGTATTCTTAAACTGAATCTGTATTGTTGACTGTTAATTCAGATTTCAGGGACCATTGTTGATAAAAGTGGGCGGACTCTTTCTGGACAGACAGGAGAAGCATTTGTCATCAGTGTGTCTCATGCAGACCCACTCTGGTGAGTGATCATTCTTTTCTTGACTCCATTCCTTTTGGGGGAAATCTTTTCTTATGGCTATAAAAAGTGGCCGAGAAAGGACTACATCTACATATTTCTACTCTACCTTTTCCATGGGGATGTTGGTTTTCTTTAAATATTTTCAGGTTTTTCCATAAGGGTATTAGAAGCCACTGCATAAATGGGTTAATAGAAATGACTGGGAGAGTTCTCATATCTTCTGGGCCTGACTTATAGTTACCTTTTTGTCTAAAGTGTCCCTTGTATAATTAAGACTATGCTTAGCGTGGTAATAACACTTTAAAATATTATCAGCACTTATATTTTTGGGGCAATGCTTTATGAAGATTTTTCACTCTGTACTCATGGAGCAAACAGAAGCAGTCTAACTTGGAATAAAGTGGATTTTTTTAACTTACATTTTTATCTTTTTGCTGGTGCCAAAACTTTTTCTTTTTTGTAAATTAATTAATTATTTTTGAAGTAACATTGGTTTACAACATTGTTTATGATGAGAAATATAGGATCATGGGATCTCCCCATTCAGGTATTGTTACTACACCACACCTACCACCAAAGCACCAATAGTCCTCCACCACATCCTTTGTGCTGCCTCTCTGCTTCGTTCTCTCCCTTCTTCTTCCCCCTCTTCTTCTAGTAGCTTCAGTTTTATAGACAGATTTATAGGATTAGTTAATGGTTTGGCTTTATCTGACCCTTTGTTTTATTTCTTTGGATGCCACATATCAATGACACCATTTAGTATTTGTCTTTTTCTTTATGGCTTATTTCACTTATCATCATCCCAGCCAGTTCCATCCATGTTGCAAAAGACAAGACTGTTCTATTGTGTATAAACCACATCCTCCTGAATCTACCCTCTGTCTTTGGACACTTGGGTTGTTTCCATAGCTTGGCTAGTGCAGATAGTGCTGTAGTAACATAGAAGTGAATATATGCCTTTGAATTAGTGTTCTTGTGTTTTGGGGTAGAGACTTAAGAGTGAAATTGCTGGGTCATATTGTAGATCCATTTTTAATCTTTTGAGAAACCTCCATACTGTTTTCTAGAGGGCTGGACCAGTCTGTGAAGGACCAGTCACCAACAGTATATGAAGGTTCCTTTTTTTCCATATCCTTGCCAACTCTTGTTTCTGGACTTTTTGATATGAGCCATTCTCACTAGTGAGGTGGTGTCTCATTACAATTTTGATTTGCATTTCCCTTTTAAGTGATGAAAATGAGCACTTTTTCATGTGCCTGTTTGCACATGTATGTTTTCTTTGGAGAAACACGTATTTATTAATAGCTCTTTTGCCCTTTTTTTCAATGGATTATTTGTTTTCTTTTTGTTGAGCTATATGAATATCAGCAGCTATTAGATACATGGTGTATAAATATTTTTTTCAATTCAGTATGGTGTCTTTTTTGCTTTAGTGAGTATTTCATTCATTGTACAGAAGCTTTTTAGTTTAATCTAGTCCCAATTGTTTAATTCTTTTTTGCTATTTGAGTAGTCTCCACAAAGACATCACTGAAGCCTATGTTGTGGAGTGTTATGCCTAAGTTTTCATCTGTATTTTATGGTTTCAATTCTTACATCCAAGTCTCTTATCCATTTTGAGTTAACTTTTATGTATAGTATAGTTAACTTTTATGTATAGTCATCTGTTTTCACTTTTTTGCATGTGGCTATTCAGTTTTTCCAACACCATCTATTAAAGAGGCTTTCCTTTCTCCAGTGTGTATTCTTGATTTCATTGTTAACTGTCTATATAGGTGTGAACATACTCCCTTGTCATATCTTGAATAAAAGATGGTGCTTCTGATATTTGCTTTTTATTTTTCCAGTATTGGATTAAATTGTGCTCTGGGTGCAGCTGAAATGAGGCCTTTCATTGAAACAATTGGAAAATGTACAACAGCCTATGTCCTCTGTTATCCCAATGCAGGTATGTATTTCAAGGTACTCTCACATAGGATAGAGAAATACATAGACATGGGTAGATGGAGCAACTCTTGATTAAAAGAGTTTGTTTTGCAGTTTTGGTATATAGCTGACATTCAAATGGATTTTCTAAATGAAAAATATATGGGTCTAGACCACTGTTTTCCTCTAGACTTGGAACCAGTGTGCCTCAATCTGAAAGGTTCAGAATTGGACAAAACTTTGGGGAATGAAGCCTGGTCACATAACTTACCTTCGCCTTTGGTGACAATGCTTACCACATGGACATGGTCAAAGATATTTGTGAAGAGAAGAGGGAGGCTTCTTTTCTGAAAGAGCAGATAGAAAAACATCTGTGTGTTGTTACCTTTTTCTTTTTTAAGTTAGGATTTCTAATGTGCTTATATAAAAATTCCTAAAATGTTTGTAGATAGTTCTCAAAGTATCCAATTAAATATTGATGATGTATTCTGGGTTAACCTGATTTCCTGGTGAATGTTTTTTGAGCACTGCTTAGTTACTTAGGGCTAAAAATAATTTTCCAGCCTTCTTTCACCAAATACGTACATTTTAATGCACACTAAATTTTATTTCCCACAAAGAGCAAGATAATTGGAAGTGGATACTAAATAAAACAGGAAATTGCATGGTAAGATGCTAAGGGTTTACTCAGGAAAATTCATTTGAAAGGAAACTGGTTATCTTTGCTTATTTGTTTTTAATTGCATGTCAGGTATATGCTTGTTCAGAAAGTATGTAGCACTCCCCAGTGCTGCATCACTAGCAGCTAGATAACAAGAATGAACTTCCTTTAGGGAAGTTATAGTATTGACGCTTTCAAATGGAAAAAAAATAGTGAATATTTATTTTCATTTTAGTTTTTGCTGTGGCATCTGTGTATTTACTGAATTTTATGTTAAAATTTATTTGTTCTTGCATGTATTCTTCATTTAATTATAAATATAAATTTAAAAAGTTTAAACCTAACACCTTTACAACTACTATGCCTATTCGTTAAGGTAGTTTGCAATAATGGTTGAAATATACTTTCTCAGGTCTTCCCAATACCTTCGGTGACTATGATGAAACGCCGCACATGATGGCCATGCATCTCAAGGTCAAGAATCCTCTTTGACTTGGTTTTCAAGAGACAGAAAAATGATAATTTTGATTTAGAATACTTAGAAATAGAATTGTCCCCTAAAGAAATCCTTTTAATATAATAAAAGCTCAATGACTCTGAATTAAGGTGATGGAGCAGGAAGACAGGCAAGCTGTCAGTGTTCTTCCTACTTGGTACTTGTGGCTACTAGAAAATTCCCACAGTTCCAATCCAAAGTCCTTGAAATTTGACTTTCCTCTGTAGCTCTCACACATGGCTCCGCTTCATAAACTGCTGGGTGGAAAAGATACCTTCCTTGCTCCCCTTCACTCTCTTCTCCCATATGCCTCCCATCTTTGAATCTCAGGTCTTGAGATTCTTTTTCCTTAATTCTAGTTCCAACTCACTGATTTGCTGTCTGTTAATGATTCCATTCTTATGATGCCAGTGCCTTATGTAGGTGATCTGTCCAATACGCTGGTTTTTTAGTTTCTTTGTTTTCTCTGTTACTGTCCTTCATTAATTAGCCTGTGATTAAATTCCAGGAACCATGTTGTCCAATATATAGCATCTGCCACATGTGGTTATTGGAACACTTGAAATACAGCTATTGTGACTGAGGAATTTTTAATTCATTAGATATTTTTATTTATTTAAATTAAAAAACTGATACTTTCTATGTTATTTCAAAATGCATTGTCCAGCTCACATTCATTCAACTCAGTATATGGGTTAAAAAAAAATATTATCAGACAGGCAAATAAATGCCTTCTGCATTTTAAATGATATAAAGATTTTTGTAGTATCTAATACTGTTCTTTGCTTTTAATCTTATATCTAGGGCATGTGAAAGCTTTATATCTAGAGTTAAGTATGTTTAAATTCCTTTTTAATGTAGAATTTGTCATTCAGGAGTAGTTATCTTTTCTGTTGAATTGATGGTGGTGAGTTTAGAATTCAGATGTACTCTCTTAAACTTTCTTTTCTTCAATGCAGGACTTTGCTATGGATGGCTTGGTCAATGTTGTTGGTGGATGCTGTGGTACAACACCAGATCATATCAGGTAATAATCATTTCTAAAAACTTTACCTTTGGTGTGGGATGAATTGTGTCCTAATTCTGAGTTCCTTGGAATGCAACTGAATTTGGAAGTTGAAGTCCTAATTCCGAGTTCCTTTAAATGTAACTGAATTTGGACATAGGTGAAGTGGTAGCTCAGGCAAAATGAAGTCATTAGGGTAGATCCTGATCCACTATGGCTGATGTCCTTATAAAAAAAGGAGCTTAGGACACAGACAGAGAGGGTGGGACTGCTGGAAGATACAGTGAGAAGACAGCCATGTACAAGCTGAAGAGAGAGACCTGAGAGGGAACCAGCCCTGCCTTGGTCTCACATTTCTAGCCTTCAGAATGTTGAGAACTAAAATTTCTGCTGTTTAAATTTCATTATGGCAGCCCTAGCAAACTAAGATACCTTTAGATTGTTAAAAATTCAAAAGTAAAAGAAAAATCATAAAATGAACCACCACATATACCTAGCATGTGCTTTCCATAATATTTGACATTTTATCTATTCTCTAAATTTTTTCCCCTAAGAATATTGTAAAACAAATCCTAAATATCATAATAGTCTATTCTTAAATACTTCATTGATATTTGAAAGAGGGACAGACTGTATTTCTTGTGGGCAAATACATGCCTCCATTAGATTCTCTCATGGAAGGGAATGACAAGGCAGCAGGTACTTTGAGATCAAGAGTAGTGTCTTTATCTCATCTGACGTAGTCATTGCTTAATCCATGTTGTTAAGTAAGAGTATGAAGGAAGAGGGTATGAAACAAGAGCATAGTGGGGTTTGTGTCTTAAGTCCTTGCAGTTTTGTGGCTTTTAAAATGATTGGGATTCTGGGCTTCCCTGGTGGCAGAAGGGTTTAAGTCTCAGCACTATGAAGCTATTGGCAGTCACTGCAGCACAAGTTTGATCCCTGGCCAGGGAGCTAATCCACATGGCACAAACCCACATGGCACAGCAGACCTCTCCTGTCTCCCCTGCCGCTCCCCTCAGTAGTGTATTTCCGTAGATTCACCTGTTCTGCTTCCTATTCTGTCTCTGGTGAATCCATTTACCACCCCCGCACCTCTGGCCCATACCCCAGCTCTTTTTTTTTTTTTAAGAATTTTTCTAAAAAATTTATTTATTTATTTATTTAAAGATTTATTTATTTATTTATTGATTTATACAAGCACTGGGTACAGTAAGAAGCGCGGGAGGGTGAGAGAATTCACCAGATCCAGAGCAGGGAGCAGAGCAGGCAGAAGGACTGAAGTACACTGCTGAGGGGAGCAGCGGGCGGCAGGAGAGGTCTGCGCGCCATGTGGGACCCCCCTCTGGTGGCCGGGGAGCTGCCGGCGATCGAATCAGCGCTGCAGAGGCTGCAGGTAGCTTCGCAACCCAGCACTCAACCTCTGCGCCACCGGGGAGGCCCTACCCCAGCTCTTGTATGTGTAAATAAATAAAAAATTTATCTTAAAAAATATATATATAAAAAGATTGGGATTCAGTGGAATAGAACATAGTTTAGGACTATTTATATATTTTTTTTTCTCTTAGGTTGACTGATGATTACTGTTTTGAGTCTGTGTTCATATATATAGTATGTTCACTGTACAGCATTACTTAATTCTAAGTCTATTATTTTTTAAAACAACTTTTAAGTAATATCTGAAAGTTGTCAGTAATTGAATACAGCTTATCTTTGGATATGTTTTTAACCTTTATGGTTCTCTCCTTTTTAAAGAGTTGTTTTTAAGATGCTATGTGTATATCTTTTTTTATTGCTTTTAGTTTGGCATCATACACTAATTTGGGGGGTAGTTAAAAGAGCTCTTTCCATACTGGTACTGATAAATTTAATGTAGTAGCCAGATTTTTCTAGGTTGGTTGAGGACATGTTACATTAAACTGATAAGGTTAAAAAGATTAAGGATAACTAAAATTTTGGTGCTTAAGTGATTATTTCCTATGTACCCTCTCTATTATGGGTATGTGTTCTGCTTGGGAAAAATAGACCAAAAGGATTTAATTTCCTCTACTCAATGCACTTCCTCTCTTATTTGCTCCTTTTTAACAATGAATTTTTTTTTCTTTGAAACTATTGGTAAGGAGCAAAGGCATCGTTCAAATATAGATTTGATAGAGTAAAAGATATCTATGGGTTTGGGAAAGGGAGAAGATTTGCTGCTTGCATATTTATATGGCACATAGCTAAACCTATAGCTCAGAATTCAAGAACTGGTACATTCAGGGCACAGCAGACAGGACAGATACAGAAAAGTTAAAGTTTATAGACTCATGTTCTGTATTACTGAGAAAACTAAAAAGCATAATTATTGTTGTACATTTGGAGCTAGGAATATATTAAATAGACTTAATTTTATAGTTGGAAATTCATTTAATTAAATGTATTTTGTTCTGAATTAATGGATATTGTGCTTTCTCTTTGAACTCAGGGAGATTGCTGAAGCTGTGAAAGACTATAAACCTAGGCTTCCGCATGCCGCTGTTTTTGAAGGGCATATGTTACTAGCTGGTAAGTCATAATGACACGGTTTTTATAATTTCAGAAACATTTATAGACATATAAATTTACAGAAACTTATAACATGTGATAAACATATAAACATTTACAATTCAGCATGTTTATTCTAAGTTATAGTGAAGTTTTTGCAAAGGAACTTTTCTTATTAATTCAAAGAGATACCCATTTTTGTTGACATTTACATGAATTCTACTGAAGACTCCTTTGTTTTTGAGGGTTAAATGTGGGAAGACACACATCTGGTGAAATGTGAATGGAGGCACAGGTGGTACCCAGGTTGTACCCCTGGTTAGAATTAGACTCACAGAGTCCCGTGTCCCTCGTGCACTGCTTTGAAAACACTTTAGACTTCAACCTAATAATTTTAATCATCACATCTGTTACTAGTTATTGAGAATTACAAACTGTCAAGTCAATGTTCTGTAATAATGGCAGTCTCTCCCTAGAAAATTTTGTTTGCTTCTAAAATGTTATTGTCATGATCTTGCATTTGCCTTTGTGTTTGGGACTTTATAAAAGAGGTATGGTCTTTATTATTTTATTTGACTCTCAACAGTGCTGTGAGGTAGTCAGCCTCCCTTTTAGAAAGAGTTATGATGTTCAAATAGAGAATATTGGAATAACAATTCATCATGCCAACTATTAGAAAAATAAATTTAGATTTTGTGTTTTTCCATAATATTTTATGGCATACTCTTACTATCTTTAAGCAAAAAAAAAAAAAAATAATATATATATATATATATATATATATGTATATACAGTGCTTTCAAGACCTAGCAAACAGTACAATGGGGAATTATGCACCCTAGTAATTTATAATTTAACATTTATGTAAATTGAAGTATATTTCTTCCTTATGTTCACCTAAGAAAAGTTAGATAAAGTGCAAGTCTTAGCAAAAGTAATACTCACTTTTCTCACCCAGGATATATTTCATAGAACTAATATAAGTGAATGAATATGACATTGTGTTAAAAAATATACCTTTTCAGTCTTCCCTTTTTTTCTGTACTCCATAAGAGAGAGGATAAAATTAGAGAAAGAGATATTTATTATTTATGACACAACCTTTACTCAAAAAGAATGTTTTGTCAGAGATGTGATAGGATATTTTTTGTCCTTAGATCTTAAAGCTATTAATAAATGTCAGTCAAGGGCTAACAATTAAAATAGTCAAATTTTGCCAATACTGAAACAAAAAGAGAACCATTTAGATATGAACTTTTTTTAAGGATTTATTTTTATTTATTAATGCATACAAGAACTGGGGTGTAGGCCAGAGGTGTGGGAGGTGAGAAGATTCACCAGAGACAGAGTGGGGAGCAGAACAGATGGATCCACTGAAATACACTGCAGAGGGGAGTAGGGGGCAAGAGAGGAGAGGTCTCCTGTACCATGTGGGTTATTTACCTGGCCATTGATCAAACTCGTGCTGCAGGGGCTGGTGATAGTTTGCTAGCATTGAGACTTTAACCTCTGTGCCACCAGGGAGGCCCAAATATGAACTTTGAAGGAAATTTTATGTAAGAATGAAAGAATTAACTTTTCCAAATTTGAATTTTATGTACTATTTCTATTTTCTTTTGAAAATCACCTTCAATCAGATTTTGAAGAAATGACATTAATCATACTCTCTTAATTGTTCTTTTATAATTTGCAAACTTGAGAAGAATGTAGTTTTTTCTTACCACATTTATTTGCATACCACATTTTTATTTCACATTCTTAATAGGTCAGAATCACTTTGTGTGAAATGCTTTTAGGGAATGACTCGGGATCTCTCCTGCAATTAAATGTTGACATCCCAGCTTTCCTGCCCTGCAAAGTTCTGGGTCTCTTGAAGGAGCAGGGATAGTAATAGGCTAGTGTGGGGGGAGTGAGGCCACAGGCACCATGACCACCGGGAGGGGAAATCAAGCCAAAACTGGAAAGTGAAGGTTTTCCTAGTCAGCAAACAAATGGCATGGAATAGCTCTACATTCCACCATCTTGTAATCATTATTTTCCTCTCCCTCATATCTCTTCTTCAGGTCCTTTGGCAAAGGACACAATAGTCATTTTCTTTCATTAATGACAACAGCAGTGGTTGCTGGTGCTAATTTTATGTTTATTAATGTTATCTAGTCCCATTTTTACAATAACATTACAAGGGATATTCTTTTACTGTCTATTTTATCAACTCAGAAGCTTTGAGAAAAGTCACCCGGGGTTTTGGACTCAAGGTTACTTGGCCACCTAGCAGGACTCCTTCTCCTAATATGTTAAATGTATTTGTAGAACACAAACAGTTAAAGGCCTTTTCCATAGTGCTGCATACAACAGCTGCATCTTGCTTTTACTTGAGTAGAATGTATCTACATTTATTATCTGATATTTGCACCTAAGTTGGCCTTAGCAAGGGAGCTGTTACTAGCCCTGGGGAAATAAAAGTGGTACAAAAAGCCCAAATGACTTGCCCCAAGATCACTCTTTTAGCAGGCACACTAAGGGGCACCCTGGGACCCCAAACCTGCACACTCTAAATGGGTTCTTCTATCTGCTGCCTGAAGAAAAAGCATTCTCTTAGTGTGAAAGAACTTTAGTAGGATAATAAGATAGTGCGCATAAACCGAGAAGGGAAGAATGGATAAATTTTCCAATGAAACACCCAAAGTTACCCATCCTTTCATGGGTAAATGCCCAGCCAAACAGGTTTAGCCCAAAGTGAGGCTACTGAGGCCTGAAAACTTGCGACAATCAAAGGTACATTCTGGCAGTGACCCGTGGGAAAGGGGCAGAAGTTGCAGGCATGTCTGGGACAAAAGGAGTAGAAATCAGAATACAAATCAAGGTAACAGTTGCCGTTGTCAGTCTTGCCACAGGTTTCTCACTCACATTTCTTCCATGTGTCTGTACATGTCTCAGCTTCATTTGTCGCCTTCCATGTCCCCCAAGTCCCTGGTGCAAATCCAAAGCTGAGAAGCAGAGGATGGACCCTCCCCTTTCTAGATTGTACTGCTAGAGGTCCTGAGTGGTTGACTTGTATTTGGAACTCCTGTTTCCCAGGGCTCTGCCTGGGTCTTTTCTTGTGACCCTATCCAGCCTCCTTCTTTTGAATTTTTGGCTTCTCGATCAAAGAGATGAAGTAAAGCTCTAAGCACACTGTTGGTGAGACTAAGAAAACTTGCTCCCTCTGACTCCAAGTTGATGTCTGGGCAGCTGTGGAGTAGCCCTTTTGTTCTCACTTTATGGCTTTAGCCCTGGACTCTGGGTTAAATGGATAACGATTATAATTTTTCCTTGTGTCTGAACTGGTATCATTCAACTCTGGAGAAATTTATGATTTCAAGTCCTTTCTCCCTTTGAGACTTCTGGTTGTAAATGTAGCTGCAAACAAGTTAATATCCCCTGTGGAGAATAATGGTCCTGTTTCCACCCTGGACCTTCTGTCTAGCAGATGGATTTGGTGCAGAAACTTTTCTTTCTCATAAAACATTTGTTTTCTCTCTCATGTCATCATATGCATTTTCAGAAATTTTTCAAAGTGCTTCTCCTTTTAAGGTCTCGAGCCATTCAGGATTGGACCATACACCAACTTTGTTAACATTGGCGAGCGCTGTAACGTGGCAGGATCCAGGAAGTTTGCTAAACTCATCATGGCAGGAAACTATGAAGTGAGCATCTTAATAAGATCCTTCCAGCATCTGCTATGTTTTTGACTAGACAACATGTAAATGAAACAGCTCTGCCTTTGATAGTGTTATTAGCAGAGTTGCTGGAAGTGTGAGAAGAACGGTAAAGTGTGTTTGCAGCATCCTGGGCTGGTGGGAGGATCAGACTTCAGAAATTTAAGCTGCTAATATCAATATTTGTCAAAAAGTACTGCATGTAGGGTATGAAGTAGACTAAGATGGGAGAGATCCAAGTTCTAGCTATTTCTATTAATTGTGAGAAGAGTTAAAAAATTCGAGAATACTCTTCATTTTGGAATTTGGTCTGGACTTTAATGATGATTTTTTTTTAATCATCAAACCTATCTCACTTTAAGCTATTGTAACCTTTAGGAAATAGATGTCCAGAAACCAATATCGAAACAGACTTAATTTTCATCATGAAGAAGAAAGGGCCCATTTGTCATCCTTTATAGACTTATTAATTTCTACTCCCTGGCATTTCTCCGAGGTATCTCTCTGTGGGTGCGTTACTAGGGCCTGGTTACCTGGGTAGCTGGTTCCTGACAGTTCTCGCCACCATGTGTTTTTGTCATGGTTGTGGTTTCCAATGGTAACTTTTTGTATATCGGATAAAATCCAGATTCTTTAGGCCATCATGCAGTCCTCTCCACGTAGGCATCTCACTGTCTTCCCATCCAGATGTGTCATCAGAACATTCCAGGAGGTCTGCTTTTACCTTCATGTTTGTTTCCTTCTGAAATCCTAATGGCCCCTCATAGTTGTGTAGTGTTCTTTAATTGGCAATGTTTCTAATTATGTTTTGTTTCTTATGACTATTCTGTGGATTCCTTAACAGCTCTCAAGTTGATAGATGTGATACTGAGAGCAAAGGGAATTTTGAGAAGAAGCAGTTGAGAGCAATAATAACTGTCATTTCATAAGGTTTAACTGTGTGTCAGTCACTTTGCTAAGTGCCTCACATTGTTACTCATTTAATCTTAACAGATGTATGAGGTAGGTAGTGTTGATACTGAATGTCAGTCTTAGTTTCCTTGACCAATGAAAGAGGAGAAGGAAAGTAGTTTGATTTGTCAACAAATTGAGGAGGGCAGCAGACTCATGTCTGAAAGACCACTGTCCTGCATTTTGACAGGGTCTTGGGGAATTTATCCAAATTTACAAGGGAGTAAAAAGACGTGAGGAGAATAAGCCATGGTTAGCATCTCATCCTTGTGACACAAGTGTCTGGAGATTTTGGGGGATATTTAGGTTGGCGCCCTCTTGCTGTTGTTGTCACCCTGTGGTGAGCAATTCTGGTACTGTTTTCTCAGAGTGTTCTTTTCCTTGAAATGTAAAAACAAGGTTGTTAAGCCTAGAGCAGAAATAAAGAAAATGGGAGAGTTTATCTGGTGGAGCAAAAAGGGAGAGAGAAATGTTTCATTGCTGTATCACTGCTGCATCCCTATTTTATAGATACGCAGTTGGAGGCTGGGGACAGGGAGGGATAACTGCTTGTCTGTTGTTTCATAGCAAATAATAATAAACCTAGTCCACCATGCCCATGCCCCTTAACCACTCTGCTGTATTTGTCTAGAGGTTCCAGAAGGAAGAGGGAGTCAAGTAGGAAGGGATAGTTAAGAGTAACTATTGATTCAAGTCAAGTTTTCCATGTTAGAAATCCCTCATGGTTCTATGGTTAAATGGAGCACTGATCTAATGGAAGTTCCAGTCCTGTCTTTTTGCTCAGCTTTTCATTTTGAAGCAAATCACTTTGTTTCTCTGAGCTTATTTGGGTCTCAAAGTTGTTATTTTCTGACTCTCATGAAATGATAGGTCAGTTCCTGTCAGTCCACACCCCTGCATTCCTTGAGTGGGTCTTACACAATGCTTAATGAAAGTGGGTGTGTTCCAAGCAGAGGAGACAGCATGATCTGTGACACTGAGTTGGAAACAGGCATGGCTTGGTGAAGGATCCCAGGAGGGGAGGAGTGTAAAGTTCAGTTAGGCAAGAAGATGGGGCCAGGTCACAGAGAGCCTTGAAGGCCAGGCTGAGGAGATTAGATTCTTGATAGTAGGAAAACAGAATCATGGTGAATTCTTAGTAGTGAGAAGATGTGACAGAAGAGATGTTTAAGAAAGGTTAACCTGTGATAATTGCTGGGAGGATAGCAGGCACAGAGTCAGGGAGGCTGGCTAGGTAGTTGAGTATAATTTGAAAGGTCTGCTGGGATGATTAGGGATTATTTTGTTAGCCTTTTTTTTTGACTCATACTCTCCTAATGCTGCTTCCTTTTGCCTTCTTTCTTCAGGAAGCACTAAGTGTTGCCAAAGTGCAAGTGGAAATGGGAGCGCAAGTGTTGGATATCAATATGGATGATGGCATGCTAGATGGTCCAAGTGCAATGACCAAATTTTGTAATTTCATTGCTTCTGAGCCTGACATCGCCAAGGTTGTACAAAATGTTTGTGAATGAAAGGAATTTGTGTGTTTCACTCCATTACATATTTAATACTCTCCTTTGTCCTGTTGATCTGTCATCTCATATGCTGGTTTTCTGTTTTCTTATGTTGAAAACACAGTGGCTCCTGATTGTCAGTTTTCTCACATATGATAGACTTTCAAATGTAAACCAGTCTTCAGAGAGAGATGTATTTTCAGCTTAGCTGTTTCCAAGGCTTCTGGAATTGTCCTGAGAATTGATTTGAGTTTCCTCTAATGTCTGGATACACTAAGGACCCACTTTTTATGTCTCTGAAGGATATACTACCTGAACTACCAAGTCGTTAGTTCCATTCCTACCATAGTCAAGGGAATTCAGTTAATGCTTCCTAATTGCAGGAAGAAGAGACCTTTTAAGCTTATCAGAATGAGACATTTGTCCTTTAAGAAGATGAATGTTAATTTTTATGTCGATCTGTTTAAAAATTTTAGATGCAATCTAAAAACTTTAAGAATCGTACTTTATTTCTCTACCATTGAACTTGTAATGAGGATTGATTTTTGAAGTTCTTCTTTTTTAAGAAACTTTCTAGTGCTTTAAGAGTTAGTGCTATCAGCTTTTTATTAGGCTTTAGCAACTGCTTAAGTTAGAAGTCTTGTGGTAAAAGCAGTGAATTACATTAACTCACCCTTTATTTGTGTCTTAAAATGCCTCAGTAAAAAACTCATCACTCCTCTAGGAGTAAATATTTTGGGAAGTTAAGTCTGGAGAAGCTAAATTACTTGTTCAAAGTCAGAATCAGAAGGGAGGGCTGATTATTAACTGGATAGTGCCCTGCCATGTAATTCCAGGCCAGTTGATTAACTGTTGACCCTACTTTCCATCTTCATCTCTGAAATGGTAATACTTATATCTTCTTTGTCTAGTTATAAAGAGAAAAGTACCTTGTGAAGGACCCCATGTAACATAATACACTTATTACTTAGTGTTCTGACTGCTACTGTAATTGTTCTTTCTTACCTTTCCTAATTTTGACCTCTATCAAAGTTTATTTGAGACCAAATTTAAAGAGCATAAAAAGAAATGACCAGTACATTTTCACCTTTAGGGTTGGGACACCAACCTGTCAGCAAACTCTTTAAAACAATGGGTTGATATTGTTGCATTTGACCTTTTCCCTGGTAAATCTCTAATTAGTAACATGCTGAGAAAGTGGGAAACCAATGGGTTCCTTAGTCTGTTTTGGTCTTCCTTGATGGTGTGGGCTAAAAAAAGAGCAAACTAAGGCACTGTCTCTGAATTCTCCTTTCCTGTGTTCCTCGTGTCATAAGTTGGGTTTCAGTGTCCCTGAAATATGCTTCGTGGCTGTCTGCTTTTCTGTCCTCTTGCATTTTCCAGACTTTGTCATTGCTTAATATTTATCTCTGTAAGTTTGGTGAATCTTATAGGTTCCTGCCTGCCTTACCATTATCCTTGAGTCTAGCATGGAGCGCACTACAGCCATCATTTAATTATTTATTGAATGAAATAGTTAAGTAATAAGGCCTAGATAAGTTATCCAATTTCATGTCTTTAGTCTAATCTAGTCTTTCCTTGAAGCTCTTACTTTACCCTCCTGGAACAGCATGGAGAGTACGAAAAACAAATCTATGCTCATCTCCATGTTCTAATATCTAGGAGATATTTTATCCAAGTACATCTCCTTTTCTTTTATAATAGTATTTTTTATTTGAAACCACAAACTTGATTTTCTAAAGGGAAGATTGTGTTCAGATACCATAACTTGGTTGGAGGGCTGTTATCCAGGGCATGATGCTAACTAAACATTAACCCCAGGTCAGATCAGGTATGTCCAAATCCTTTTGGAGGTGTTTGCCTCAGGGTTTAGGCAATTAAGAGTGTAGACTAGTCCTGAAGCCACCGAACTGAACTCAGTGATCCCATTCTGATATTTTAATGGTGATATTTAACCTTTTTAAATTCTTCACCCCCTGGATGGAATCTCTTTCCAGACTAGAGTTACTCTACATACTTTAGACTTTAAGAATAAGTGCATTAGGGCCTCCCTGGTGGCGCAAGGGGTTAAGCACAGCACTGTGAAGCTACCCACAGCCTCTGTAGCATGAGTTCTATTCCCAGCTGGCTAGGGAGCTACCCACATGGCGCAGCAGATCTCTCCTGCCCACTGCTCCCCTCAGCAGTGTATTTCAGTCAGTCTGCCTGTTCTGTTCCCCACTCTGTCTCTGGTGAATTTTCTCACCCCCTGCACCTCTGGCCTGTACTCCAGTTCTTGTATACATAAGTAAATAAATCTTTAAAAAAATTAAAAAAAGAATGAGTGAATTAAAATCCTGTCTCCATGACACGACTATTGTTTGGTCATTGTTTCCCTAGAGAAACAGTAGGAAATATATGAATATTTGGGCGCTTGTAGAAGGGCATTTGTGATGCTTTTTTAGTCATTCTGTGATTTTTTGAATCACAGGTGCCCTTGTGCATTGACTCTTCCAATTTCGCTGTGATTGAAGCCGGGTTAAAGTGCTGCCAAGGGAAGTGCATTGTCAATAGCATTAGTCTGAAGGAGGGAGAGGATGACTTTTTGGAGAAAGCCAGAAAAATTAAGAAGTTTGGAGCTGCTGTGGTGGTCATGGCTTTTGATGAAGATGGACAGGTGAGTGATTTCTTTTGACCTGTTCCATTGTGTTATATAGGTTAGACAGGGCAGTGGAAGAGAACTGACAGTCAAACAACCACACACACACACACACACACACACACACGCACGCACACTTATATCTATGTACATATGGGAAAATAATTATTCAATGAATGCTATTGGAACAACTGGCTATGCAATTAGAAGAAAATAAAATTATAGCCTCACTTCCCATCATTATACACAAAAGAAAGTCTATATCAATAAGGATCTAAATATAAAAAGCAAAATTCTACAGAATATATGGGAAGGTATTCATCTGAACTTGAGATTTGGAAAATATCAGAAGCCAGAAAGAAAATTGATAGAGCTATGTATATGAAAATATAAAATTTCGTATCAAGAAAGGATGGCGCTGGAAGGGATCATGCTCAGCGAAATAAGCCAAAAAGAAAAAGAAAAATATCGGATGGTCTCACTCATAGCAGGAATCTAGAAAACTTAAATAAGGGACCAGGAAAATGAATGAACTATAAGAAAGTGAAAATCAAAATCAACAAACAACTATGAACCAGAGACACTCTATGGGTTGTGGGGGGCGGGGAGGGTAGAATTGGGGTCAAAATAAGGGGATTGCAATTGTATGGCAATATAAAAATAAAATTTATTTAATAAAAAAAAAAAAAAAAGCCTAATGAATTGGTCTCCTGAAGCCAAAGACTTAGTTGGTTACTAATTTTGGATAACTGTAGAATTTGAAAGGGACTGGAGTTTCTACAATGGGCTCAATCTCCCTATCTTTACCTTTGGATGAGGTCCTGGGATGCCTGCTTGGATGTTATGCATTGTAATCTAGGTGCGAGCCTAAGAATACTAGTCTGCTCCTAAGCAGACTAGTGTCAGCAACTGTGTCAGTTGTGTTGTCTGGGCCTAAGGATCTTGGTTTCCATAGCTGTGTCAATGGCTGTGTTGATCTCTTCTACCCCCACCTCCATGTGAGCCAGGTTTCTGGTCTTGTAGCGGCGCACCTCCTTTTCATTTTTTTTTTCTACTCTTGCCCTCCGTCAGACATGATGAACTAATTTAAGAGTTGGTAAATAGATCATAGAATGAGATCAAGAATTTACCACTGGATTTAGAAGTGGGGTAGTTTATGATCTTGATGTACTGTTTCCAAGGAAATAAAAGCTTAATTGGGATAGGTTCAAGAAAGAATTGGAGAAGAATTGGAGGCAGCAGGTATAAACAACTTTTTTTTAAAGACATTTTATTTATTTTTATACAAGACCTGGGGTACAGGCTAGAGGCGCAGGAGGGTGAGAGGATTCACCAGAGACAGAGTGGTGAGCAGAACAGGCAGATGGACCGAAATACACTGCTGAGGAGAGCAGCGGGCCAGACAGGAGAGGTCTGCCGCGCCGTTTAGGAATCTCCCCAGCCAGCTGGGAATTGAACCCGCCGTGCAGAGGCTGTGAACAGCTTCACAGCGCTGTGCTCAACCCACTGCGCCACAGGGGAGGCCCTATAAACAACTTTTTTGAAGGAATTTTGCTGTAAAGGAGAATAGAAAACTTGGGTGGAAACCAGAGGTGGATATGAGGTTAAGAAAAGAGAGAGAGAGAGAGAGAGAGAGAGAGAGAGAGAGAGAGAGTGTGTGTGTGTGTGTGTGTGTGTGTGTGTGTGTGTGTAGACAGATGACATGACAACATGTTTCTGATAAGCTAATGGGAATGCTCTAGCAGAGAGAGACAGAAATTGATGCATAAAAGAAAGGGGGCATTTGCTCTCTCCATGACCTTGTAAGTTGAGAGGGATGGCAATCAATGTGCTCGTAGTGCAGGAGAAAAGGCTCATAGTGCAGGAGAAAAAGCATACAAAGCTGTAGGTGAGCTGGGCAAAGTGCTGAAGTTCTAGATTGCTTCTATTTTCTCAGCCAAGTAGGAAGCAAGGTCATTGGTGAAAGAATGGAATGTTGTGTGCTTTGCATATCTGTGGTGCTAAAGCAGAAGCACTCCCTCAGGGAAGGGTGGTCACTGCCTGTGCTTTTAAAAACACCCTCTACCTCCTGGAGTTTCTGACTCTTTTGGTCTAAGATGAGACCTGGCTTTGGTAATTTTAAAGCCTTAGAGGTGATTCTCCTGTACCCTATGGTTGAAAATCACCAGCAGAGTTTCTGTGCATTAATCCTCATGGCAACCACCTGGGGTAGCTGTTGTCCCATTTTTCAGTGAACGATGGTCAAGTGGGTAGGACATGGTGGAGCCAAGTTTTGATCACAGGTCTTCATAATTTGAAGAGTGATTTGTATTTCCAAATTCTGTGCTATCCCTATGTGTGGTCTACTCTCCAGTTCTTGATCTTGCTTGAGAACAAGATTTCCCAATTTTGACGATAACCACAAATATTAAAGCAAATGTAAGGGGGAAATTTTGCTAGTTATAAATAATTGTAAATTAGAGCAATGTTAAGGTAATATTTTATCTTACTAAATTAGTAAATGTAAACTTAAAAATGATCAGGGTTTGTGCTGGTATAGCAGAGATAAATAAAAAGTCTCATTCATTGTAGAGTATGGTATAAACTGGTACAGTCCTTTTGAAAGACACTATGATACCTGTCAAGAAATTTAAAAACATGTTCATACCCTTTGAGCTAATGATCTCATTTCTGGGAAATTATCCCAATAAAAGAATTCAGCAGCATGAGAATACTGTATATGCAGAGGTTTTTCATCAGCTTTATTGAAGATATAACAACCTAAATGCCAACTGGAGAGAAATTGATATTTTAAGTTACATCTTTGTATTGGAATATTATCCAGAGTGTTTTCAGTATTATATAGATTATGGAGCAGCATGACAGTGCTTTCAGGATATAAAAATATATAAAATGAAACATTGTATAGATACTGTGTATATGACTCTGTAAAAGCTATATTTGCAAAAAGTAGAGGAAAATGGACTTCCCCTGATGGCACAGGTGGTTGAGCGCTGCGCTGTGAAGCTGTCCTCAGCCTCTTCAGCACCAGTTCGATCCCAGCCGGCCGGCAAGGGTCTCATATAGCTCAGCAGAACTCTTCTGTCTCCCTGCTGCTCCCCTCAGCAGTAGTGTATTTTGTCAGTCTGCCTGTTCTGTTCCCTGCTCTGTCTCTGGTGAACCCTCTCACCCTCCTGCGCATCTGGCCTGTACCCTGGTTCTTGTATAAATAAATAAATAAATCTTAAAAAAAAAGTAGCGGAAAATACTTTGAAGGAAAATAATTGTCTGAGTAAGGTGTTGAATGCCTTTTTTGAAGACTGCTTTTCCTAATAAAAATAAAATTTCCATATGATTGTAGACATATATGCTCATTGTAGAATTATGGTAAGTATTGAAAACTATAAAGAGCAAAGCAGAAAATACACTTGCAAGGTTCAGAAATCAACAGTGTAGATTTTTTTTATAAAGATATGTCTTCTATTGATTGAGTTCTGAAAGTGCTGTTGGGTGTAATAGTTAAGAACCAAGATCTGCTTGGCTTGACTGGCACCACTGGTTTTAAGGACAGAGTATGTCTCTTTCTTAAATGGAAAATCACTTGTTCAACTAAGCAAAGCAGAGGGACAATACCTGCTCTGTTTCATTATCTGTGTGTTGTTGCCTTTGGTTTAAGTTTATGATTTATGTTGCAAACAAAACTGCAAGGTAAGGTCAAATATGAGAGAGGGAACGGGCCCAGAAACTTTTGGATTAAAAGGCAAATAAGGAAGCATTTCTGTATTTTTGTTAATTGACGTTGGGAGTATTGGGCAACAGTTTTCACTCTAAATAACAAAATGTGGAACACCTTTATGGAAATTTCTATAGGAGTAATAACTATCACTACTCACTCTGTAAATTTAATTCTCCTTTTCTGATTGAAATGATTATTTTCATGGGACAATTTTTTTTTTAAAAAGATTTATTTATTTATTTATTTATACAAGCACTGGGTACAGTCAGAAGCGCGGGAGGGTGAAAGAACCCACCAGGGCCAGAGTGGGGAACAGAACAGGCAGACTGATGAAGCACACTGCCCAGGGGAGCAGCGGACACGGCAGGAGAGGTCTGTCATGCCACGTGGGACCCCCGCCAGCGGCCGGGGATCGAACCGGTGCTGCAGAGGCTGCGGGCAGCCTCGCAGCCCAGTGCTCAACCGCTGCGCCACCAGAGGAGGTCCACATGGGACAATTTTTGATAATGTAAGGTTTCTTAACAATTATCATTTAATAGCAGCATAGAGTGTATTTGTTTTGCACATGTATAAACTGTACAAAAGAATGATCAGTATCATCCTATAAATGCATCCATTGTATTCAAAGCATTTTCCTATGTTAAAATGATTTAAAAATAATTTTCTAATTTGGAATATTGGATTATTGGAATATTGAATAACATTGGAATATTGAATTGGAATATTGAATAAAATCTAATTAATCCTAACCAAGAAAATAATGAATTGGTGTTTTGGCAATATTTGGATTTATCATTCAGGAACAAGCCATATCTAATTACTATTCAATCAAGTTTTATTATTTTCCTTAAATAGGAAATCTCAAGATCATGCCTAGGTCTTTTGTGTTGTTTTATTATTATATTAGCTTATTTTTCCTTTCATAAATATTTTTCATTTGTTGGTGATTTTTTAGATTTTTATTTCATAACCAGCCTCTTTATTGAATTTAGATAAATTGATGCTATTTTACAGTTGAATATCTTATGTTTTCCAGTGGGGTATGCATCAGAGTATTATAAATAGTTCTAAGAAACTGAAGTCAATAGTTATTTTTTCCTTTATTTTTATCTTGTTGAAGGTAATTGAACTGAACCTAAGAGTTGATTCTCAAATTTTCTCCTCTGACCCTTCTGAGCTTTATTAAAATATGACATATATTTCAGGGGTCTCCTTTTTAGTGACTATAGAGGGGTCACCACTCCCTGGCTGAGATTACCTAATTGAGTACTTCTGTGTTTGGGATTTTGCTTAAAGATAGATC